TCGTGTGAACTTGCTGTGCCACTGGAGTCGAAAACAAAATTCCTGCTCAACAAAGGTGAGCAGAACCCATTATGTTTCTAAATCTCACAGTTACACAGGTAGCCTTGGAAAAGCATAAAGGCTTCACAGAAATCCAGTCTTGTATCTGGATGAATCCTGAACTTCCAGACAGGAACTCACTAGATTATACTCAACACACTTTGCTCCTTTGGTGTAAGTCAGTATAAGAGAAACAATCAAGCCTTGAAACATGATCATCATACATCTGATCTGGTTTCTCTAATCTACCAAAATGAGGGCTGGGATGTAATTTGAGAGGTCTTCTAGTCCAGCACATTTACCTAATGCAGGATCATGTTCAGTATATATTAAGGAAGCAGATCAAGTTACCATGAAGTAATGAGCCAATTGCTTGTGATAAACGACCATGCTGGCACACTGAAAGAGAATACATAATTCAAAACTTTGCTAAAAAAGGCGTCAGCGACTGTTTATCAGCACTCAACACTAGACTGTTGATCTTCCCTCAGAGAAATCGAACCCTTTCTTAAGACTGATAAATGATTGCCCAATCCCCTTTAGTACCTGTTTCAACAAGCCTTATCAACACAAGACTGACATAGCAGACACCTTAAATTTCTCTTTGTGCAGCCAAAACTCACATATTGTCTTTCTTTAAAGAGGCACTCATGAAGACTAACTGGCTGCTAGGTTCTTACTCCCATTGTACTCAGACTGTTTCTCACAGTTCATCTTCTCTAAGCCTCTTAGTACTCATAATGTCATTCTGTGGACTGTAAATTGTGGGCCAAAGCAAGCAGGACATATTATTCCACCTGATACCTGATCAGTACATCAGCTACAAGAGTATATTCCTGATCCCCAGGAATCTTTACTGCAGTCCGCTGTCTCCTATTTTATGTTCAAAATGTTGATTTTTCTTTCCCCTAGGTGTTTACTGGCTTTCTTCATACTGATTTCTGGCCATTGTATCCACTTTCCAGTAACATTTTAAATCATAACCCTATTCTTAAAAATGCTTTAGTGTCATGTGAAAATTTTACAATTTCCTCCCTTCGGTTATTTAATGAAAGTATTGAACGGCAACAGAACTGGGACAGAGAGACAGCTCTGTAGGTAGGATTCCATTTGACAGAACCTCCTACTTTGACAGAGAACTTAAGATTACTCTTTATGTTTCCATTTTACACTGATTTCATCTTACTTACCTCTCACCCCAACCCTCATCCGCTCAGCAAATTACCCTCTAAAAATGGTTTAGAGGATAAAAACACTGTTGACAAATTCAGATGAAAATGTGAAACCATAGACCTTAATTTTTAATGTTATATCTGATTTTTAAAATAATCTTTTCCAAGGCCTATTTTTTGAGTCAAGCCTCTATAGCCTGTCCTTAGATCTCTTTTCTCCTGAAACACGATAAAACATCAAAGTTTTCTGGCTTGGGAAACCTTTGTGCACAGGTGCTGCAGAAAAGCTGACTCAAGGCATATTTGCAAGGGAAATCCTAAAACTGAAGTGACGAGAAGATGCAACAGCAACAACAGCTCACCACTGACATTACTGCATTCTGGTCCAAATTCTGCTTTTACCTGTACTCATCACCTGGCTTTCTCAGAACTGCTTGTTTCCAACAGAAACCCAAACAGGGAGAAAAAAGGCAGCTGAGTAATTCCACGGGTGCTCCTCTAGAACTGCAGAATGTTGATAAAATATAAAAGTAGAAATTATATGACCTAAGCTCTACAAGAGGAGTTAGTTGCAGCCTTTAGACTGTGTTGCTCTAGATCCCAGAGAATAGCACAAAATCCAAGTATCAGCATCTTCTGCTCTACAGTTGCAGCAAATCACCAAGCACGCAACTATCCTGAAATCAGGACCTGTCCACCTGCCCCACAGGAAAGAAGATGGCAGAATTATCACAGCAGCAATAGTTCAGTTGCATCTGAACTGTCTCATCATCACATCTCCACCTGTTCTCAGTGTGCTTTTAAGCAGTAAAAAGAAAACTGAATCTCTAAATCCCCATTAACATGCAGAATAGTAAAGTGAAATAGCTAGCCCTGAGGATCCAATGTCCATGCTATAATGATTTCAGAAAATTTTACAGTAAGCTGGTTCCAGTATAATAGTATGGACTGAATGTATTTGGTGTACTTGTGCATTTTTTCTTAGTACAGCTGGTTTAGGTTCATTCAAAGGCAATGTATTTTTGTGCTCTGAGGTCACCCTGTGATGTAAACCAAAGCTTGGTAATTGGGGAAAACTTGCTTCAAAAGCATAGTTTACATGGACCTGACATGCTAAAGGGTGCTGAAGTCTTTGCATTCATTAGAGGCCTACCATTCCCTTTGCAAAGAACTGTGCTGGTTTTGTTGCCAAGGCCCTCCTCCAGCTGCGAACAGGAGACAGATAGTGCCTGAGACATACAATTGTGGTATTCATGGCAGAGAAATTAATTCAGCTGTGTGAAAATTTTGAAAATCAAGCAGCATTTTTTTCAAGCCAAATTTGCCTTTACGAAAGGAGTTGATTACACAAATTAGTTTTTTAAGCTGCGTTATGCTCAGCTCCCAGATCAGGTCAGTGGATAAGCTGTGCAAAGTACCGAGGATATTAAGCCACTTATACTACTGCAAATATAATGCTGCAGTGGGATGCAGAACAGAGACACGGATACTGCTACCTAAAGTTTCTCAGGTATGCTTCATGTCCAAAAGCAATACATTGTTTTAGCTCAATATCAAATATATGGTAACAAATCCTTTGAGAGATTACCTATTTCTCCACAAGGCCAGCCCATGTATCCTTCTACAATACTCCAGAGCCAGGTTCCCCAGGAAACACACTACAGAAATAGCCAGGTGGTTGTAAGAAGAGGTAACCTGTGTGTGCTGGGCACAGTAATCAAGAGTTTAGCTCCTGTTGAGTAGGCAGGAAAGGCAGCAGCAATCTCCTCACAGGAGATGGAAAGCTAGAGGAGCAGGATGCAGTAAGGCTGTGGGTTTGAGGGGAGGAGATGGCAGCCAGAGGGCAACAGGGGGTTGAAGAACATGTCTCAGGCCTGGGAAGTGATGAGAACCAAGTTTTGGTTGTGGTAGCAGCCCTAGGCATGGGAGGAGGAGGGGGAAGAGATTGTGGCAGTGATTAGCGTCTCCTTGCTGCACCCGTTTTGCATTTTTTGAGAACTTTAATCTACTGTGAGCAGCATTTAGGAATGGGCAGACCTGCTATCACCTGTCAGGTCCTCCTGCAAACTGGAGCACCAGGAAAATGGTGCAGATACCCCAGTAGCTCATCTCATGCAGCTGTATTTCTCTGGGTGTAACCTGTGACATTTGGATTTAATTATTTCCAGGATATTCCAATCCTGAGCCACCTCAGGTAATAGAAAACTGACTATCTGATTTCTAAATAAATTTCTATCTTTCTAAAACCTGTACTTACCACAGTTTTTCCAGAACACAATTGAACAGATACTTCTCAAGAGTGTTGGCTGAGTCCTACAGTTAAGAAAATTAACCAATATATTTTCTGGCCTTTACAATGCTCTCAAGAAACCAATATATGAAAATAAAATGGTTTGATATGTGATTCTGTCTTTTGTTAATAATTTGCCCTGCAAATCATAAGTATGGCACAATGATTACAAGGGTTTTTTTAAAAAATGCTATTTTGATTCTTTCCCATCTGCACTTGTTTGAAGCCACTTTCATTCAAGTGATAAGGAAGAACGTAACACAAGTGTTCCTTGTATTTGTACTATGAACTCAAATATTTTAGGAAGGTTACTTAAATAACAACGTCTGTTTATACTAAAAATAGCTTTTTATTTTCCTGTGGTGATCTCAGTCAAGACTGCGGCTCCACTGTTCAAGCACAGGCCTGTGCAACTCACACCCAGTGGCCAGACACAGCTTGCAGCATGTTTTATCCCACACACACTAGAGACACATGAACAGGCTGATACATTTTAACGAGTTGCTGTGCAAAACAAGTTCCTAGCAAGCAACCTGGAGAAAGCTCTCGAAGCCACAGTTCCTCCATCATCATTCACCCTGAGGTGAGCAGGCAGAGCTGCTGGCCCGGGAAAGGGCTTGGGAGGAGCTGAGTGTCCTGGGCCTATGCCAGCCCGGGAGGGCACATGGTAAAAGCAAGAAGACAAGAATCATGGGGAGTGTGGGGTAGGGGCTGCCTCGGGAACCGAACATCAAATAAAAGGTGGAGGCTGGAGTGCCCTACATGCTTTTCATAGGGAGCAGCGTGAGTGTGTGCAAACAGGGTGGCATAGCCCATCTCAGACACCTGCACCTCAGCTAGAGCAAATCTGGATGATCCCCTGTACTGCACCTGCAATGTGCTGGGAACAAAGCCCAGGTATATCCTAAGTCTGCGACATAACACTGGTAAACCTAAATATCTAGTGATTCATCCATTCATTTGAATTCTGCATGCCTGTTATTTGCAAACACAGGGTTTAGTTCAAATTATTGAAAGTAAGGTGTTTTTTTTCCTGTCTTCCTTATTTATTTCTCAGTGCCAGAGCATTCCTGTGTCTGAAGGGTTTGCACAGACCCAGAGAAGCATCATCAATGCACTCTTTCTTACAGAAACACCAGATGCCTCCTAAACCACGCTGCTCTAAAACGGGCAGGGCTTTTAAAGACGTTGATACTCACTCAAAGCCCAGTTCACTCTGTCTCCACCGAGACCTGCCGCTTCGCGAACACCCAGTTTCTACCCAGGTAACGCACTGTATCAGAGCCGGACCCCGGCCAGGTGCGAGCGGGCACAGGTGGAGATGGGGGACATCCCTGCGGACGCCCCGGCGGCGGAGGGACAGCCCGGCCGGCCGGGGCCGTGGGCAGAGCAGGGCTGGACTGCGCGTTCGGCCGCGGCAGAGCAGAGCGCTCCGGAGCCCGGAGACGCCACATCGAGACCACCGTCCGCCCCTCCCGACCCCCGGGGCTGCTCCTCACCTTGTACTGTCGGAAGCCGTCCAGCTGCCGGCCGCTGACATACGCCACTGCACAACGCTGCCGCCGCGCTCCGCGCCCCGCCGGGAGAGAGGGAGGGAGGGGATGGGAGGAGGGATGAGGGAGGCGGCGGGCCGGGCAGGGCGGGCGGAGGGCGGCTCCTCGGCCGGCCCCGAGGGCTGGACCTGCCGCGCGTCTCGGCATCAGCGGGGACACCGGCGTCCCGGGTGCCCGCCGCTGGCGAGCTCTGCCCGGGCGGCTCCCACGGGAGCAGGCGTTTCCCCGCGGCCCCAGGGCGCTTCCCCGGCCTCGGTGCCAATAGCGTGTGTTGCACACTTGTAATTTCCGCCCGGGACTCGGTACCGGGGACAGCCCGCAGCAGCCTCCCGTGGGCACCGCGAGCCGCAAGACAAGTGACGTTGCAGTATCACCTCCAAACTATTTTTCTGATTACAGGTCTGTTAAAGATGCCATATTAATAACGTGCGCGAAGATGTGCCTGTGAAGACGCTACACAAAAGAATGCTGTTTAAGTAGCGTGTTTGAGAAACAGGTAACACTGAGGATTAAGATTTTTGTTGGCATTTCTTTCCCCTCCAGCAATAATTTGCCTCTTGTATCTCTTTATTGCACCTGCATTGGAGCCTGTCACATCACATCATTCAGCAGTGCGCTCTACACCTTCTGATTTCCAGGGAAGTGAAGCACTGTGTAGGCAAAAAAAGACTGGAAAACATCAGGAGGGATGTTTCAGCTGCAAATGAATTTAAGCATATGGCATTACACTTTGGGTTACCTTTGCTGGACACTGCTGGAGGAAGAGTTGAAATCATACACATCAGGGTCTAAGATCTTATTGACCAATTGAAATCTATCCAGAAAGGAAATCAATTAAAATCCATTACTTGCACCACACAGGGTCTTCCAGGCACCTAAAGAATTGTGATAGTCAGTGTTATTTTACAAACTGTGCAGGTTGGATAGGAATTATATATAAGTTATAATCGTTAAGTGCAAACTGTATACAATGGGTCTTGTTCTGTATTATTAATTACACATTAATCACCTGAGATGTGCTTACACCTACGTTCTTCTTCCAGCAGCAGCAGCTAAACTTCTGCTCTTGAATGTAACCCAGGACTTTAACAGTCAGCTTCAAGTTACTGAGTTAAAGCTTGATTCCAGTTAGGAAATCTGAAGTTTTTGGAGCTTATATTTTTCACGAACTGACTCAAATTTTAATTAGCGTTCATACCCTGGATTTTGCTTTTGCATCCTCTTCATTCTTGTTATCATGGTTTTAAATTTTATGCTATTGAGTTAATCTACAAAGGTACATAAGAAAAGACTCGCAACCTCTACTGTACTCAGTGCGATTTTTTTATGCAAGTAAGTTAGTAAAAGTGGCCAAACCATTTTGTAGTTACCGCTTTCATTTCTTAACTCTAACCCTTATAAGCCTCAAACACGAAAGCAGAAATTTATCTGAACAACTATTAGGAGTTTGATGGACAGCAGGAGAAAAGGTGCTTGTTTTTCTGAAAGGTAGAAGGTTGGAAAGTATTTTTTCTTTTTGCAGGCCTCTATATTTATGTAAAAAATATAGAGATACAAGAGACATAGATACAGCAAATATAGAATACAAGTTTTATTTCCTATTCTCTCAAAACTATTTTGGGGATAAATGAAACACTTTGAAAAAAAAACAACTAAAAAACCTCCACGAAATAGAGAATATAAAAGACTGCTTACATGTAAAAATGCAATTTTATGAACTCGTATCTCAGCATGTTCTGAATCTGCTAATGAGCACATCAAAGGAGTCAGCATTAGATTAGCTATACTGAAGAGAAGGAAACAGACTGGTGACTGAGTATGGAACATCACAGAACAAGTTATGACACATGAAACGTGAGGCTTGAGAATAGTGTGGAAGTTACACTGACGTGCTATTTGTTGACTTAAGAAACTTCCTTGATTTAAGCATCACAGTTCATATGAATCGTTGGCCCTTAAGATCAAGCACGCAGGGTAGCCAAGCCTGGGCGCGAGCAAAGCCCACAGCCACGTGGTTTACTGCTACACCTTATGTTCTCACTGTCTCCATGCATACCCATGTATATGTTTATGTATATCGTATATGTATATTATTTATATGTATATTCTATGATTATATTTTTTGATCTGAGATGTATATTATGTATTTTTCGATCTGAAATGATTTAGGGTTCTTTTCTGGACAATTGCTTGAGCTGTGATCCAAGCTGTCTGTCCTACATGCAGGACTGTAGGAAGAGCAGTGAAAGCAGTCTTAGTGCTGTAGTATATTCCCTTGTATCTTTTCTGGAAAACTAGTGAGTTGCAGCCTGAGTAAGAAGGACCTGTAACTGGTACATTAGTATTATTACCTGAACAAACTTCCATTTTGTGAGCTTAAGAGTGGATAAGATGAGCACAGCTAACTTTCACTATAGAAAAAGTTTAAGTTTTTTTACAACTGTGGCTGGGACATTTGTGACAGGTCAGACTTTACTAAGTAAATGACTTAAACATGGCTTTCAGCAGCTCAGGAGGAAATAACTCAAGACCAGATTTGAATTCAGTGAAATCAGCCAGGGAATTCTCAGGTCTTCAGTGCTGCTTACTAAGTACATGTCATACTGAGAGGAAAACAATGATTTATTATTTTGAAAGAGTGTGCATATTGTACCACTGGTATATGCAAGAAAAAGTTTAAAAGAATAGTTGCTCCACAGATATTAATGGCATTTTTTTTAAGAAAGAAACCCAACATTGAGGCGAATTGTATTCTGTATCCATCAAAATGATAGGCAAAGAGATAAGGGCTCAGGATGACTTAGAATAAATCCTTGGGTTTCAGTTTGTCTCTCTGTTACAAGTTATATTAATAAATTAATAATGATGGAGTTTCTTGCATAGGGAAGCCTGCCTACTACGGCAACTTTGGCTTTTAATAATTTATTGTGCCTTGTTTATTCGCCATCTTAAAGCTGCCTGCTATGCAATACCCTTTATCTAGGAGGCATGTAGTAGGACATTCATGCCTACATCAAGAAGTAAAAAAAAAGCAGACAGAAATCATGGGGAGAGCAAACTCAAAATGGACAGCTGCCAAAATAGTAGAAGAAAGGACTAATGTACTGGGAGGTAAAGTGGGACACCGCAGTTTCCCCTAGAATGTGTGACATGACTCAGGCAGTGCTTCCTACCCCACCCCTGCATGGGATAGCAGAAATCTGTTAATATTCAGGATGACAGTGACAAGAATCAGTTTAGAGGCTCAATTTAATTTCCAGGCTTTCTGTGAGCTCATCTTTGTCTATTAGCCTTGTTTAATACTCATGGCTATTTAACCTACTAACACAATACTGAATGCTAAGCTGTATCGGTTCCAAAGCCAGTTGCTCATTTGCAGTTTCAGTTTGCCCATGGGCGGATAAGCTCCACGAAGGCAGACTCCTGCTGGCAGTTCACTAAACGACCTTAAAGATGACCTCCAATTTGGTTTGAATGAGAGCTACGTTTGCTACACCAAGAAAAGAGTTCAAAAACCAGTCTGTGAATTTCAGAATATGTCCAGAATGTGGCTAATGGATAGAAAACAAATGAAACAAGTAGTGTAACCAGATTATGGCTTGTTAGCTATTACAGGGCTTGCAAGTGATACAAACGCAGTGAGCCGCTGCTGCGTACCACAGTTCTCCCTCTCCCTTTGTTCCAGGGCATGTCTGGCGTGCTGGGGCTCATGCAGGGGAAACAACCACCACGTTAGTGAGCACTTATCAGTGAGACATTCTACAGATATGTGGCATATGGCCTGGACATAACACCACGTCTGGTCCCCAAAGTCTGTATTTAGAGTGATGCTGGAGTTAGTTACAAGCCATGGATACTGTGGTGTGCAGAATCACACAGCTGAGGGACAAGAGCTGCCAGGTATTGCTGGGTACCAGTTGTGTCTGGGTGCCAAAGGGGACAGGTGATTCTGGGCAGGTACAGGCTCCTATGTTCCCAGCAGATGCAGTCTGTATGAGAATTCTCATGATGCCTATCCATTTCCTACCTGGAAAGGAAAAGTCATTTGTTCTGAAAAGAATATGTGCCAAAATAGAGTGAGCCAAACTTGTTGCCTTGCTCAGCAGCACCAAGTGTTTCTACACTGATGCACAGTAACTTGCTCCTTAGCTATGTCCTCAGCAGTGCCAGGGCCTGATCCAGGCCAGGGAGCCTGGATCAGGCAGCAAGGACAGTCATAGTAGAGTACTCAAGCCTGTGCTCTAGCTCCCTCCAGTTTGCTAAGGGGAAAGCCTGCTAAGCACTGGACCCAGTTGTTCACACCACTTACATGTTTACCTTTTTCCCAGCTCCGCTTTCAATTACTGCCTTCAGGCTTCTGTGGAGCAGCTAGCCCCAGTATGGATGCACATGAATCCATGCCAATCAGCCTTCTTTCCCTCAGCAGTATAGATAGGCTGTGCTTAGTGGTGCTTAACACAAACTTCTCAAACTGAGATCTTGACTGCAGACATTCAGCAGAGCCTATCCATTTTCTAACTAACTTCTTCCTTGGGCCAGGCATTGCTTAGCTTTTTCAGGAACAGTCCTTGTAAAGTCTTCAGCACAAGGGTACACCATAGTCATGATAAACCCTATTATGCTAAAATAATGTTAATACTGGACCTAAAAGAGGAAATTCAGTATCTTAAGTTACTAAAATACCTAAAGTGCAGTGTTATCAGTATCTCAGTAATTTTAAAATCTTGTTGAATTAAATTAACAGGGAAAACTTTGGTGGGAGCAAACTCATCTAATGATTGAAGTTTAAAATATGGCACTTTTTTCCAGCTCTGAATATATGCCTGCATTTTTTCTCACCAGTTAGAGCCAAAAGAGAGTACTTTGATGATAGATGTTCAATTTCAGCTTGGAAAAAGCTTATTTTATTTGCACTTACCTCATTACTACAGAGACATCTTATAAAAAGTAGGCAAATATGTTTCACAAATGTTACCGTCTGTCAGAAAGTT